TTGGCAGGGATGTCCTTTGGCGCAGGAGGGCTGTACCGAAAATCAGTCTTCAAAACTTCATCCTCACGAGTTTGGAAAACCACGCTTGAAGAAGCCAAACCTTCTACGATGGGTCGAACATCCTTCAGGCGGTTGCGCCCGCCTGTCATCACGGACAGCATCTTCCTGCTGTTCACCCTTGCACTTAGCAATTGCAAGCTCATGTTTGTGTTGTTGGCAGCAGACATGGATGACTTCACCATAGAATTCAAAGACTCCAAACTGCCAGCATCAAGTCTCAACTCCAAAGCTGCCAGTGACAAAACACAATGCAGCCCCGAACCGGCGGGGAGCTTGCCTGACTGCGCCATATCTTGCAACTCCGCAATGAATCTGGAACGCACCTTCTTGGTAGTAGCTTCCAATGTGTCGGCTGGCTCTTGAAGCAGTTTGGCAGCAAGCTGTTTGCGAATGTTGCTCTCATCTTGCAAAGGGTCAGCAAGAAGTCGAAACAACGGCCACGGCCACCTGTCACATCTGCTTCTGCAGAAAGAAAGCGCTACACTGCGCAACACTCACCACAACTGTATCCTAACTAGCCTTACCAGAAATTACACAAAACTAAACACACTTGCTTCGTACGGCTACGGTCCTCTGCAATGGCTGGACAACCCGTCTGTCGAATGAAGCTGCGCAATGCAAAACCAGCAAGAGGCCCAGGTCTTGAGCGAATGAATTTAAATCTTCGCGCCCTTCCTGTATGCGACATGCAGCGATCGCCTCTGCCACCCATGATCTCGAAGTTCGGATCAACTGTAAAAACTCTGCCTGCAGCCTTGAAAGGTTCCGACTCACCATGTCCACTATGGGCATTGATGCGGGCTCCGGTGCTTTGTTCAGAATGCGGTAGAAATGCAACAAGGGTTCCCTTGTCAGATTTGCAAGCTTCGTGACGCACCAAAACATGGGGTCGGCAACGCACGTCAATGCAGTCTTCTTGTACTTGGAAACTTTTGCCTGATATGCTTTAGAATCTTCGAGTGACAGTTCGTCCAATACGCTACCCAGCTGATCACCGTCAGTGATTGCTGCTTGACTTGTCTTTGCGCCGTCTTGGCCAAAAGCACGGTGCAAAAGCTCAAAAACATGTCGGGGACCTGCCTGCAGGTAGAAACATTCAGCACCTTGGCAAGCTGACTGCCACGCGTGGCATTCCCACAGCAAAGCAATCTACTTGCAAATCAATCCAGGAGCATTAATCCAATTAACAAACTGCGACAATGAATTTGAACCAAGTCTGTCAAGGAACTGTCTACACTAGCCCATCTCCCAGCGACTGCCAACGGAGGAAGACGAAACAGAATGGTTTTGTTTGCAAAGTGCGCATCACCGTCACGCATGTCAGTCCAGGCGGTGCGCAGTTTCTTCAAGTGTCCCCTCCAGGTACGGCTGATGGTTGCCAGACTCGTGAAATATTTCCATTTCTTGTTCATGCACTTGAGCACGAAATCCACAAGCGAGAGCTGCCCTCTAGCAATCAAATGGTATTGATGCTTGAAGCATTGCAAAGTGAACAGCAGCATAAATCCATATTCATCTCCAGATGCGAAAAGAGTGTGCAGCGAACCGCGGGCACCAATTTGGTCAGGGCCCGAATCCCCGGTATTCAGCCATATGTGGATGTAATCCTCGGGCAGTTCCTTGCTCCTGCATGCAACATCGCGCCATCTTGAGAATTACTGCGTTACCTGAAACAGAAGAACTACATACCAGCAAGACCAACAATGGGAGCGCACAAGCAAAGTCCTCATGGCTCGTGATAGTTCCTCCCAGTCTCGCAACGAAAGGATCTGAAACTGCTTCTGGATGATGCCAATATTTCCTGCCGCTGTCCCATGGGCACATACTTGTAGATCAGACCTCACAAAACAGACAACTCAGATCTTTTCTTGACAAATGGCAACTCGACAGATTGAAGTCAAGTGCATAAATGCTGGCAAGAAGCATGCATGGAACCGTTCGAAAAGCACCTTTCAAATTTCCTGCGCATGCATCTACCCAGTTGACTAGTAAGGAATTGGATACTTCCAAGCCCTGCAATTTCTGCCGATGCCAAATGCTGGAGTTCGTGGCATCACCACAGAAATATGTGGCGCCGAGCGCGAAAGTCGATGGTCCACCACGCTGGTTGCTACACTTGGGCATGCCCCGCAATTTCCTCAAACATGATCCGGCATCCCCTTGTCCAGGAGCAGGAAGAATTGGTAAATGTAATTCAGACATGATGGCGCTGTCTTGTGATTTGACAGCACTTGCGTCTTCCAGCTCTTTCTCCCGCAGCGCAATCTGTTGCTGCGCAGCAGTAGCAGCATCAGCATCATTCTGGGCATTAACTTCTGCTTCTTTACAGAAGTCCATCCAGGTCCGCAAACGATGGAGCAGGTAAGCACTTGCTTGGTTAAAAGTCCGGCACCTAGAAACGATATGGGCCCAAGTTTGAACTTCGGCTCGGACGACTGTCCACCGCGATGTCTCCACAAGGGCAGCCAGTGGGAACGACGAAGCTGACACCAAGGCCATTGATTTACGCAGGCCCAGCACAATGCTTCCTTTCCACGTGAGTTTGCGGCCTCCAGTGTGCCTCACAACATCCAATCCATCAGAGCCATGCTTTTGCTCGGCAACTTGTTCTTGAAGCTTCATGATTTTCACGTTCTGTCGTCGCAGTTGTTGGTTTTTCATAGCTAGCCGTTTCTTCAGTGAGGCTTGTTGCGCCGCACCCTTCTGCATCCACACAAGTTGCTCCAAAGCAAAGTCAGCAAGCTTTGCATGAGGCATCTGCTGCAGAATTTGATGTTGCTGTTCTGCAGGTAAACAACACAATGCATCTGCTCCACCCTTGGCCAGCCACTGCTCAAAATTAACAGGCTGTTGCGCGGCATCGGCTGATGCTGCTGATGGCTGAGGGATTTTTTGTCACCGCCGTGCGCGCT